CACCTATGCCGGTAGTTGTTGGGAGCACTATGCTCGAAGTTGTTGACGAGTACGTTTACCTGGGACAAATAGTCCGACTAGGTAAGTCCAACTTCGACCGAGAGGTCAATCGACGGATTCAACTCGGCTGGGCAGCGTTCGGGAAATTACGACATATCTTCTCGTCAGGTATACCTCAATCTCTGAAAACTAAAGTGTACAACCAGTGCGTGTTGCCAGTGATGACTTACGGATCAGAGACGTGGTCCTTCACTGCTGGCCGTATGAGGACGCTCAAGGTCGCTCAGCGAGCTATGGAGAGGGCTATGCTCGGAGTTTCTCTGCGTGATAGACTCAGAAATGAGGATATCCGCAGTAAAACCAGATTGACCGACATAGCCCAACGGATTAGTAAGCTGAAGTGGCAATGGGCCGGCCATATAGCTCGAAGAACCGATAACCGATGGGGAAGAAAGGTTCTCGAGTGGCAGCCTCGTACCGGTAGGCGTAGTGTAGGGCGACCCCCCACTAGATGGAGTGACGACCTGGTAAGATATGCAGGAAGTCGATGGATGCAGGTGGCTCAGGACCGCGCTTTGTGGCATTACTTGGGGGAGGCCTATGTTCAGCAGTGGACTTGTGAAGGGCTGTGATGATGATGATGATGATTTTTGACTTTGACACCCATCCACTGCACAATAATTACGTGGTTTCGGCATTTCGACAAGTAAGCGCGGGATAGGTGCGTGGTGCGAGTACTCAGGATGGCGGGCGTGCGGCAGCCCAATGTCGGTTGTATCGTGGACGATACGCAGAGCGATAGGCATATAACGCGTGACCATAAGCGAGTGACGGAGGCCTGGTAATAGTGTTCTTTGATTTTAAATGTTTTGGCGGGAACTTGGCCGTCGACGGATTGTCACTCCTGTTTTGTCGCTTGAATAATGGTTTGAAGTAGATTTTAATTCGTAAAAAAGGAGCGATTTTGTGAATTAAGTGTCTGGCCGTGTGAACTGTTAGAGAAAACGACGAATCAAATGCTTTGATGTTGATATAAACCTCAAGTTAATTTGATTTCAAGTCAATTTTTTTTAATTTGATCAAGTTATTTTGAGCGTGAATGGCAGTCGTCATCAACTGTCCGCTGGCTTGAGCTGTCGTCAAAATCTCTCAAAAACTTCGCAGTCTGACGCATTAGCATATTGTAAATAAAAAATAAATAAAAATGAAGATACAAATATATAAAAAAGAAATGATAGGCTCAGAAGGGCTAGAACCCAGAGTCGTAAAGTCAGTTAATAAAAAAGTCTGTGATTGTGAAACCACAGACTAGATAGAGGAACTGAACTGACCTTAGAGCATATACATATGCTCTAAGGAATGACGGTGACCACAAACTAATAAGAGTTGACGGTGACGTAGTGAAAATTTGTGTTTCGTTTCGGTTCGTTCCAGGTATATATATAATGTACTCTGTGGTTTCGTTCTTCGTTCGTATTTACTGCACAGACTACTAAGAGGATACGTTTTAGCTTGCTACATATTTATTTATCTATGATACGTTTACTGTTCTAGGTATAAAGTTTGTTTTGTTTACTAGGTATAAAGATAATTCAATTTCAATTAGTCATTGAAGCAATAAGAAACAGGAATGGTCTTTAGTGAAATTTGTAGAATTTGTTTAAGCGTAAATGTACGCATGTGTGTACTAAAGAAGACTGGACTCCAACATTTGTATATAGCATTGACGAACAGATTTGTAAGTTTGATTTTACTTCAGTTTATTTTTTATTACAAATTGAAGTTGCGGTAAATTGTTCTTATCGCTGGAGAAATACATTGTAACTTTCCTGATATTAAATGCGATAGATCAGGGCTAGGCTGAGGTGCAGCGTTAAGTAAAGAGTCAAATACAACCAGAATCTGAAAAACAATAATTATCTTGGAATCCTGGGCCGCTCATAATCAGTACTATCATTGAAGTAATATCTACTACGTACTAAAAGTGATGACGAGACGTAGTGCTTGCAACACGCATTTGGGCCTGCGGGCTCAAACTTACCGAGTCTGTTGCCTCCTTCCAAGCGACCCGCACTGCTGCATAGATTTGTTCGCGGTGTCTGTTCTAGTACATGTTACTTCAATTAGAATTATTGTGAATTTCTTCCAAAGAATTAACATCCACTATAGTTTGGTGTTTCATCCACTTGTAGCAGTTCTATCAGACTTTTAGACTGGGAGATTAAGACAGAAATCAGAAGAGGGAATAATCTGCACAATTAAGTAACTAAATATAGGAAATCATGTGTGCTTGCTTACACACACATGCAATATAATCCTGTCCTGCACTGATGTATTTGGTATAGTCTCTGTTGTGACCAAGTGCTGTCTGTCTGTAGGAGGTTATTATCATTATAGGGGGGTGTTACCATGTGCTCACAGAATACCAATGTAAAATAGCAGCTTAATGCTGTTCCAATGGTGAGTATAGAGAATGGGAGTCCCTATATACTGGTAGGCAGTGAGGCGTTCTGTCTTGGTCCTGAGGGGTGACAATTAATTGGGGATAAATGTCGATGTCTATGGGCCATAAATTAATATTGAAATGCAAATACAAACTGCAAAATACCTATTTTCATATTGCATTTGATATCTTTTTTTTTTCAAAATCTATTTTGTATTTTATTTGAAACACTTTGTATTAATATTTGGTACATTGTAATTTGAAAGAGGTAGTGCCACGCTGCATGCATGCATGTAGCCGAATTGGGCCGGCACGACCTCTCGCTTACACGATACTGGCGTAAAGTGGCAGCTGAGCTGTCACGTTTCGTGCGGTGTGTAAGTATCCGGCGGCCTTGGGGTGGGGAGGGGAAAGGAGGGCAACGCATCTGTATAACATCCAGTCAGATGTCTATGGGCGTCGGTAGTCATGAAAATGGCTGCGACTGCTCGTTTGCCCCCTTATAATATATTAAAAAAAATACAACATGGTTTTGTAAAATTTTTAATATTTTCAATCTTTCGTTGAAAATTACTTTATTTACATAAGCCAGCTATTCTAAACGTTGGGGACAACAATAATAATGCCAACATTGCAAGTCAAACAAACTCTGTGAACTGCAGCTTGGCTTGGAACTGTTTCTGTGTATTTGTCAATCGGCGCCTCTACACGTTGGCCAACACAGTGGTGAATGTAGTGGCCAATAGCATTGGCCAACGTGTAGACGGGGTTTTGCGCTTCATTGGTATGTATTGGAACGATGGCCCGCAAGTTGGCGCGAGATCTGTGTGGTGTCGGTTTTTTACAAAAGATCAAAGGATTGTTGGCAGAGTTTGGTCGCCGCGTCCCCACGTTGGCCACGAGTTTAGTTTGCTACAAGCTCCCAGAGTGATTACACGCATCTGATTAAAATTTTATATTCACGCTTTGTAGGGTGGATGACCCAATTACCTGCATTTTAGTGCCAATTTCAACTTTAAACATTCCTACTACTTTAATTAGCGCGATTTAATTATTTTAAACATTTGTTTTAATCGATAAGCTATTTATAAAAAAAATAATGAACATTTATTTATAATCAGATTATTACAAGAACAATTTTAAAATGAAAAAAAAAAATGAAGCATGTCGTTTATACGTGGAAGAACCATGCAGTTATATTAGAAGTATAGTTGTAGCACGAATGGGTCGGTTCGACCGGGGAAGGGCCACGCTCTCACAGAATATCAATGTAAAATAGTAGCTTAATGATGCTGTGTTTCGTATAGTGAGTGTAGAGAACCAGAGACACTTTTTTAAGGAAACGAGGCATTTCATCTTAGTCCTCACGGGTGACAACGCATCTGCATTTTGATTCGAAATCGAGGATAGATGTAGATATCTGTGGGCCACAGCAACCACTTACCATCAGGTGAACTGTGTGCTCGTTTGTCACCCTATCCTATATAAAAAAGCGTCGATTTCTTATAATTTATTCGTGCAAGTATTCGAATCATCATCATCATTACAGCTCTTCACAAGTCCACTACTGAACATCCTCCTCCAAAGAATGCCGCAAAGCATGGTCCTGAGCCACTTTCCTTGTCGTGAGTTTTTCGTTTATGTTCTAAGTTATAATTAGTACCTATTATTAAGTCAGTGTTAATTATATTTATTGCAATTGTTTTTGTCTTTCTCAAAAAATAAATAAATTACCAAATAAATTATAAGGTGTTTTTTATATACATCAAATGTCTGATAGAAAAGCAAGTACATGTTTTGCTAAACTTATAAACAAAACCCAATTTTAAAACATAGATTAATCGATTATAACTCCTTTAACTTTAAAATAAGTTAAGGTCTAATCAATAGTATTTATTCCAGTTTCTGATGCATGTAAAGAATAAATAAAGCTAATCGTATATCGTATATCTATTTACAGCCCCGTTAATATTCACTATTCTTTTATAATTATTTTATAAAAACGTTACCCCCCCTCACTTGGATTTATCGCGGAGGCAACTTACAAACGTAAATTGCACAAGGACACACATCCAGACCCGAAACAATTATTTGTAGGATATACAAATACTTACAGGATTCAAACCCGCGACCCCTAGCACAGCTACTCATTGCCAAGCCACTGCGCCACGGAGCCGTCGTCTAAAATAAAATAAATTCGTCCGCACATTGGCCCAAACCGAAGTAAACTGAACGACCTTCCAACGTGTGGACGCCTTCACCAACTCTCGGCCAATATATTCGCCACTACATTCGCCAGTGTGTTGGCCAACGTGTAGAGGCGACAAATGTCAAACAAAACAACCAATGATGAAATTAAGTGATCCTTGATATAAAAAAGTCATACTCTTTACATACACATATTCAAAAGCTCTTTCTTAAATATAATACTTGCTTACCAAGTACTGTACCTGTTGAACAACTGGTTTTGTTTGGTGGAATGATTATGAGGGGCCTCATACATGGAATATGAAGGATCAGCTCTTTGAACAAATAATAGTGTCAAAATCAATGAAATATGGTATTTTATTTAAAAAATCTATTTTGAATACTTAATTTGCATTTTATAGTTTTAAATACTTTCATTGAAAAAATAACTGAGCATTTGCATTTTGAATTTAAATATGTTTAGTAAACTATTTCGCATTGCTCTGGTTTCAAACTTTTAGTTGTTTTATTTCATTTGTTTATGCAATCTGTTCTAAAATTTGTTTATGATTTGTGATAATATCACTTTTGATAGCAACTAGTTCCATACTTCAATCACTTTTTAGTAATTTTGTGACATGGCTTTAGTCAATTTAAAGTGATGCCTCTAAGATGTGTGTCAATTGGGTACTGGAATAATAGTTTGTCAAAAATTTCTAGATTATAGTGTCCATGTATTATGTTTTCATCAAGTCTCCTCATTTTCTGTGATCTTTCAGAGTTGTAAGTTTAAGTGTTTTCAGACTTTCCTCGTATGGTATGTTTTCAATGCTCTAGGAACTGTTGAATATCTCCAGTAACTCAGTATTGTGTAATTTGGAAGCATATTCCAAAATAGAATTATTTATACATTTTAAGAATCATTTTTGGTATTATTATTATTTGCCACAGTTTCCACTAGGCTAGGTGGGTTGGCAACTGCAGTTTTTTTTTAATTATTCTGACCTGTTATGTGCAAAATGCTGCTGCCAATATCCTTATGAAATAAAATAATCTAGTTGTTAGATGTCCAAACTTATCTGGAACTTACTTTATACTGCAGTTGATTTTATACAGTTTGTGTCCCCGCCTGAAGGACATTGAGAGCCAGTATATAGCAGTAGGCTGTGAAGCATTACATCTTAGTCCTCTGAGGTAACATCCCATCTGTAGCCTTTGTTTGAAGTTTGTTGCAGGTGCTTATGTGCTGTGGCGGCCACTTAACCATCAGGTGGATTGTAAGTTTATTTGTCACTTCAATGTTATAACAAAATGATGCTGAAGAAGAGAGTTGTGATGGCCAATATATTTTATTACAAACTTGTACATTTAAGTAGTTTCTTATATTTATTAAATTTTCATATTTTCAGATGGATGAGGATGAGGAGCTGATAATTGTCTGTTTCATTTGTCATGCAAGACTCATTCACTGTAGGAGATTGCAACAACAGGCTATTGAGTCGAATGCAGTTCTGGAGCAGTTGCTTGCAGGAGGGTCCATGGTATTATCTATTCTATCCATTAATACCTATAAAAGTCTGTCAGAGATTGCTTCATAGCAGTAATTTTGCCAAAGTCTCTTATTTAAAAAAAGAGTTTGGTTTCAGTCAATACCAAAACCACATGAGGCTAGAGATAAGATTCAATTCACACCAATTAATCATATAGATATTTGGCCAGTAGAGTGTGATATAGAAAATGATTGTAAGGACAATGTTTTTATCTTTGAATCTGTTAAAGTTGAGGAAGAGAAAATCGAAAATGAGAATATAAAATTTGAAGTAAACAGGAGTCATGAAACAGGTAAGATATACACATTTTGTGATGTTATTAAATTATGGCACAATTTTACATAATGGCAAGTGGTTACTGTAGGCCATGGACACAAAATAAAGAGATTAGTACTGATTTGCCTTTGCCTAAATTCAAAGTGCAAGTAAAAAGCACTCATGGAGAAAGAAAATAACAAATTAAATAATTATTTAAAAGATTCAAATTCAAATTTATTTATTTGTTTTGAAAGATAACCATACATGGACATCACAATGAGCTTTGTTAGACATTTTCTTTGACTTATGCATAAATATATTTATAAATATTTTGATGTTGTATAAATGCAACCAGTATGTATGTACACTAAGATGTATTCACTTCATGGGAATTAATGTTATACTTACAACTGGTAAGCTACCACCTATCCAGATGAGCTCCTCCATCCTCCTGTTACCTATTTCTATTGTCAAATAGCAGTGTGTGCACTGCTGTGTGCCAGTCTGAAGAGTATAGAGTCAGTATAATCACAGGCTGTGGGACATTGCATCTCAGTTGTCAGAGGTAGGCTTGTGAAAAAAAATCAATTATTTATTTAATCAATTTTTAAAGCGATTTTACTCTAACAGTTTTCGATTTTTTGCAGCAGAGAGTTAATGCTTGAAACATTCCCAACTTATACTTTATTGCAATCATTTTGTTCAAATTTTATGCAAAGCAGTAAATATTAATCTCCCATACAGTATTGTTGAAGGCGAAGGTTTTCAAAACTGATAAAGTTACTTGCACCCTTGTACAAAATACCATGTCGGAAAACAGTGACAGACGTAATAGACAGAAAATATGAAGAGACAGAAAAAGGCTACAAAAATTGCGTTCAGTAAACAATATATGTTTCACAATAGATGAGTGGGAAGACTTGCAGATGAGTAGCTTTTTTGGTGTAACTATCCACTTTGTTGAAAATTTTAAAGTACATAATTGCATTCAGTATTGCATGCGAATCTCTTACTGAAAACCACACAGCGGATTATTTAGCTAGTATTTTAAAACAAGTTTGGAATGAATGGGAAATAAGTGAGGATAGAGTTGTTAGTGTCACTACAGATAATAGCGCTTTTGCGTTGCCTTTTAGTTTTTTTATTTTATACATATTGTTAAAACTAGAAATCGCATATGGAAGAGGAAAATATACAAGATGCATAGCTAGTACCGTCTTTACCATAAGGGCACACGGGGCTCCCATGATGAAGGGCATCGGCCTTATTCGCTTACGCTATACAATCTTTTTTCTATTTTAGGAAAATATAACCTGAAAAAAAAAATTATGGAGTAAATGAGGGTGTTGTTAGATTGCCTGAAAAAGTGGCATTACAGATTTCCTAGGTAGGAAGTATGTAGTTCCGCATTTCGCCGCCATCTAAACGTTTTTGTCAGGCTGTACAGTCATCTTACTTATATTCTGGATTTTTTTTCGGCAATCTATGTATTTATAATCTACGAGATAAAAATGTAATTTCGTACTGCTTAATAAAAATAACATTTCAAAAGATTTAACGGCAAATGTTTTATTTAATATGATAATTTTCAATCACAAATATTAGATTTTATAGCAAATAATTGTTACGATCCTTATTTTTAGATAAGTTAAGCCTAAATTTTAATGTAAGAAATAAAAAGAATTATAGAATATTTTCCTTTTTTGCAAAGACGTTAATTTTGGTATATATATTTAAATCTCTTTGCTTCTTTGAAAGAAAGTTTAGGAAAGAAACATTGAAGTTTACATTTTCCTAAGAAATTATCATCCCCGCTATGAAATCTGTCAAATATTTTACCTCATTGTAAAGTGGTGCCGCCATGGTGGCAAAAAAAGTCGCTCATTGATGACACATTATTTGATATTTACCAATTAACTGTAATAAATATAAGATCCTAACAGAAAAATGTTTTTGTCATTCACTTGTTTCTACTTTCCAACAGGGCTCCAAATACTTGTGTGCCCAAGGGCCCAGGTATGGCCTAAGACGGGGTTGTGCATAGCCCATACGTTGAACCTGGTTGTGGAAAATTCAATTACTGCAATAAGCTTTCTAGAAAAAGTTCATAGGATTGTGACTTGGTTTCATAAAGTGGGTAGTAGAAGAGTTGAGGAGTCAGAAAGATTAAAATATTGTGGAAGGAAAAATAAAGCATTTGATAGGTGATATTTCCACTTGCTGGAATTCTCAACTACACATGATTGAAAGATTTGTCATGATGAGTACTACTATCGGATCCATTTTAGTAAACCCTAATACACCACCGATGCTTCAAACAAACAAAATAATATAATTGAAAGAGTTAATAAAAATACTAAAGCCCTTTGAAAAAGTTAGCCATGTAATGAGTAGTGAGAAATACGTCAGTGGAAATAAGGTTATACCGATGATAAAACGTCTGCAATAATATTTAAAAACAATAAATCCAGTTCATGAACAGGCTATTGATTTGAAAAATTCATTGTTGAATGAAATAAGAAAGCGTTTCGAAAATATACAAAAAGTACTCCTTTTCCAATGGCTACTTTTCTAGACCCGCGTTTAAAAAATCATTTGAATGATGGATTAGCTTTGACAAAGATGATCAGCTATATCAAAAGATATCTAATTAAGGATTTGCTGGAGAAAAGGGAAGTTGCGGAGCCGTTGTCTTCGGTTGCTATCAGTGATGGTTGTAACATCTAGCTGGCTCATCAAGAGTTAAAAGCTGCTTCACATATCAGATCCGAAGCGTTCAGAGTGCCGTCGTGCGCTGCATAGCGATTGAGACGCTAAATGAATAATCTGCAAATAAAAATTGAAAACTGGCGCTAAACTTCAAGTTTCATTCCCAAACATACAAAGTGTTATAGTACAAGTAATATGCAACATAATGATATTTACAACTGTGTGAATTGCTCAGTTTATTTGTGTTAAAATCAAAATAATTTATGTGTTTGTGCGGTACTCTTCAATTATTATCAAGTTATAGTCATAAGTTGAACTTTGGACCCATTAACACCTCATACAAACATAGACGTATTCCAATAAGTGATCAACCTTAGGTACTGTGTATTTCGTCGCTCAGCTAGGACAACAGCTCGCGTAGCGGTAGCAGAGTTACGGATAATCTCAAACATTGGCGATTATATCCATATCCATAGTCCGAACCCTGGCGCCACAAGTTTTTTTTTAAATTTATTTTTTTATAATTGAACTTTTCTTTTTGTCTCTGTTGGGAGAAGGAAAATAAAAACATTTGTTATTATTATTTTAGGAGAAGGAAAATAAAAACATTTTTTTAAATTAACATAACATAAACACTCACGCCTGTCACCCAGAGGGGTAGGCAGAGACTACGGACTTCCATTTGGCACGATCCTGACATACCTCTTTCGCCTCCTTTATATCCATATATCTACGCATACATGCTCGTCGGAATATAAAAAAGTATAATACTTTCGTTTTTAGTCCAGACACAAATATAAAATTCTATAAAAAAGACGGAGCACCTTCATCAAAGCGACACGTGGAACGCCGGAAGTTCAGAGTGATTTCTTTTTTTTTTTCTAAGAAACATTGCCAGGTTATGGTTTAAAATAAAAGAGCATATCTTTGTCTTTGATACTATTATCTATTGCATAGTGTCTTTGGTTTTGTTTAAAACAAAAAAATAGTTTTTTCATAGGTACACATGTTTACATAATTCTGATCGAATTCGATCACTACTTGGTGGACGTAAGGTTGGTATTGTACGATCGAAGGTGAGCATGGCTTGGTTAACAGGTTAAGGGTACTTCTAACGTGGCCCATTTTCAAAATATCGCCAATTTGGTCGATAAACTTTTTCCTAGGGCGTCCCTTCCCGACTCTGCAGTTCACATCTGCCATATAAATTTACTTTGTCACTCTTTCCTCATTCATTCTTTCTACATGACCAAACCACCGAAGCATTCCTTTCTTAATCCTGGTCACAACATCATCTTGCATACCACATTTATCTCTTATCACGCAATTTCTCACCCTGTCATTCAGATTCAACCCTAGCATACTCCTTAAAGACCGCATTTCTACAGCATTTATTCTACTTTCGTGCTTCTTCTGCCACACCCAGCTTTCACTACCATACATTAAAGTAGGGACTAACACAGGGTTATGAATTACCATACGTGCCTTTTTTGACACATTCTGGTTCTTCATAATAGAGTGTAGTGCCTCATTCACTCTATTCTCTGCATTTACTCGTTTACATTTACTTTTTTTTAATTATTATTTTGTAATCCGAAAGAAGTCAAAAAAGTACAAAATGATCTGCGGGCGTTGCCGTCTATTATTGAACCCAGATTGTTCCTTACACACTTGTGATTTCAAGTATCACTATGAATGCCTAAATATAAACAAGGAGCAGTTTTTATCGCTTTCGAAGGAATTTCGTTACGCTTGGACTTGCCCTGCATGTGTGAATGTAACAAGACGTGTAAAAACTAACTTAAGCACACTTGTACGTCACAATCAGGTACCATCTATGGAACAGTCTATGGACCTATCTAGCGAAATTATGAACAAAAGTGAGGCGCACATACCATCAGATTAGTGTTGCCCAAATGCAAGAACAAGACGAGACTTAGCCAGTCTTGGTCTTGGTCTTGCGCCAATACACCTGGTCTTGTTCTTGGTCTTGGTATTGCGCTCTCAGTCTTGTTCTTGGTCTTGGTTTTGCAGCAAGAGTCTCGCAAGTCTCGCAATTACCTATTAGCCTAGAGTTATTTATTAAACGTTACTTTAGATCTTAGAACAACTTAACAGAGTCGGCACATTTTGAGCTTGAATTAACATAGCCATAGAAAGACCATCCAAATTAATAAATGTCTAAACATTTAATGAGAAATTCGAAAAATCAACTAATACCGGGTGGGGTTTGAACCCACGACCTAAGCGATCCGTGCCGATGCTCTAACCAACTGAGCTGTCTACCAAGTTTCACGGCCACGGGAGTTAGTCTGTTTCTTAATAAACGTTTACATTTAATAAGCTTACATGTGCTAAAACTTAGTCAAAACATATAAAAAACAAATTAGTGACATTAACTTGACTGTATTATAAAGAACATTATCTGTCTAGAAAGATATTGATGGACCCTTATATGAAATGGAATAAAAGAGTTATAAAATTTACCATTTATTTAAATAAAAAAATAAAATACAATACAAATTAAATTACATAACAGTACACAACAGCTTTGACATTACTGTTACTTTATATTAATTCTTTTGACCAAGAATTAATACAAAGTAACCATCTGGCTGACTCATCACTTAACCTATTTCTATGTTTTCTAATCACTAATGATGCTTTAGAAAATAATCTCTCAGCAAGTACTGAAGTTGCAGGTATTGAAAGAAAATCACGGGCCATCTTCGATAAAGTCGGATATTCTGTCTCATGCGTCCTCCACCACTTTAAAATGTCTTCCGAACTGGCGGCTCTGGGTTTACTTAGGTACTCCTCCAACGCGTCTATAACTAAGCCTTGATGAAAAGATCCAGATCCAGATGACGTCGAGGGACATGCACACAATTTCTCAAAGTCTATTACGTCTTCATCTTCATCATATTCACATACTTTCTTTTCATTTCTTGGTGATTCTAGAGATGTATTCACTGAGTGTAGACTTTTATATTCTTTATAAAGTTCATTAAATTTGCGCAAGCTTTCTGTTTTAATTTGCTTCCCCCATAATGTCATGTCAAAAGTCTGAGTCTTATGCCTTGGGTCTAAAATTAAAGAAGTTCAATAAATCCAGTTGCTCTTTTTATAATGTTTAAGCATTTTGTCTCGAGCTGCTTGAAAACCCAGAATGAGCCTTTCATCCACTTCTGATCGATTAGGTTTCTCATCTAATTGTTTTACCATGAATTCAATTTTATCGAGCAAGAGCTTGAATGATACAATGACTAGCGGTAATGTAACATATTTTTCTCCACCAAGTTTCGTTGATAGAAGTTTAAAGTTTATTAGAAACTTATCTATTTTTTCGAGTATTTGCCATTCACTATCTGTGATTTGAAAATCATTGAATTCGGTGACAGAAGTGCACAATATGTTAATGCCAGTTCTCACTTTTAAACAAAATCCAATCATATCATGTGTGGAATTCCATCTCGTTGGACAGTCGAGTATGGGGTTCAGATTTGATGGCACGCCAGCTGCTTCACAAGCAGACTGAAACTTCCTCTTCAATATCTCACTTCTTTTTATTTTACTGGAAATACTGCGTAATTTTGTTATAGTTGTACGTGAGTCAGCAATATTTGGCGCATATTCTTCATCTTCCTCAGTTTCGTTTTCATCATCTTCATACTGCTGTTCTTGTCCCTTATTGTCAGTTTCACTGTGTAATGCTAAGGTCTTTAATAAATCTTTTACATCAAGGTTCAAAATGTGAGCAAAGCACCGGAAATGTTGGTTGTCTTAATCAAAGTGTGGCAGCTGTTTGTCCAATTCATACATAAATTTAGTATTTGCAGTTGCGTTGTCGACCGTGATACCCTGTATTTTATCAATTATGTGATATTCGAATAAATATTCGTGGAAAATCGTTGCAATATCTTCCCCAGTATGTCGACGCGTGATGGTACCTATAAAATCAAGGACTACAGATCGATACTTCCATTCGTTGTCTATGTAATGAATAGTGACCCCGTAGTAACTCCTACCAGCAATTGACGTCCATCCATCAATGGTAAAATGATTTCTTAAGATTCAATTGAAGCTCTTCAAACCGTTCTTTGACCTTCTTTCTAAGTGTGGACCTTTTAGGAAACACCATATTTGGGCAAATTGATCGAAAATATACTTGTGTAGTTTCGTCATCGAAAAATGAGAAGGGAAGATATTTTTTAACCATCCAATCAACTGTAGTTGTCGTGATGTTGTCACTGCTATTTTCAGACTGAAATAAAACAGTAAATCATGTGTCTCGCCGATTATAAAAACAAATTGTATATATTATATATATAACTACCACTCACTGACTGACTATAACGATATCTTAGGAACTATAAAACATACAAACTTGAACTTTGTAAGGTAGGTTCCTTTTATGGCATAGAGATCAGTTAAGGGTACACTAGTCGCTTATTCTTCCATACAAACGTAGTCCGGCGATAACTCCACTGTTTGATGATGTACGTTCAAAATAAAAAATGATTTCAATTTATCTCATCATTATCTAGCCCTGTATGGAAAAAAAAGTAAAAAAGAGTATATTTAAAAGTTATAAGCGTCGAAAATTCCGAATTTCAACACTATTTTTAACACATCTTTGGGCGGAAATAAATACCATAAGAAGAACGAAAATTGCAAAACAGTTACCATACAGGGATAGATTAGTTGTTCAAAAATGCAAATAATTTTATTTTAAACAGATACATTCAATAGATTTTTCGTGACATCCAGACTACCAAAGGTCTGTTTATAAAATTTCGCGCGCCCGTTTTTGTTATAAAACATCTTGCCTTTCGCTACAAATTGCTTCCCCGATCAGTGGGACGGACGGAGGGGAGACGCAGCGCGCACTCACTAGGTTAGCCGCTGCTATCTATTTATGGTTGTAATACCTACATATCTACATCTTTATTTAGAAAAATTGCTACCTTTTTTTGTTCGTGTCCATGGCTGAAGCCGGGATGAATATAGCTGCTAAAATGTGCCCATAAGTTTGTTGAAGCACATTTAGTTAAAATTGAAAACAGGTAGGTACATAATAATGAACTTTCGATACAGGTAGTGTACTACCTGTAGGTAGGTACTTAACTACTTTAATTTGCTAACTAACGAAAACATCTCATAGATAAGCACGATTATCGAAAATCTTAAAATTATCTATTAATTTTATTAGAATAGGTAATTTTTAGATTTTCGATAATCGTGCTTACGTATAGGAGTCTCATATCCTAATATACCTAATGTAATTTATGTAAGTAGGTACATAATAATCTAAGAAGGGCAGTTTGTTTTGTAAGTTTTTTTTAAAAAACACTTTAACACAACAAAAACATGAAACAGAAGAAGCACCCGATCTGCCGAAACAAACTCAGAAAGGTCAGTCCAGGTATTACATTGGTCATGTCATACGAGAACCAGGCTAATATGGTCCTTTGAAGAAAGAATCATACAGATGTGAGTGGACAACTTAGTACTTTTTAGGATTCCGTACTCGAAGGGTAACCAGCAGGGCCCTATTACGAAGCCTCCGCTGTCCGTGTGTCTGTCTGTCAGCGGGCTGCATCTCATGGTCCGTAATAGGTAGATGGTTGTAATTTTCACAGAACGTGTATTTCTGTTGCCGCTATAACAGCAAGTGGTAAAAATAAATTTGAAATTAAAGGATTTTCTACTAGAATAAGAAACGTGTATTTTTGGCTTTTTCTGATCGATAGTAATATGTATAGGTATTTAAATCTTGTAATCTCGGAAGCTCGGAAGTCCGATTCGCACTTGGCAAAATATTTGTTTTTTTTTAACCTTACCTCAGACATACTCATATTTTTTTATATATAATTTACTATACTACTATATAAGCTACTACTAAATAAAATAGTAGTAACTTTACTATGGTATTATAGTATATTTTGGATTAGATTTAATTTATTACAGAATAACCTACCTTAGATATTGGGTTATGAATACAGATAAGCTTGTACACATAGGATTTAGTTTCTAAGTTGTAACTACATATTTTATAGCCTTCGTTATGAATAGCATAAACAGGCCAAGCCCCCTAGCCTACAAACGTTTCGTAACGAATTTCTTTCTACAATCGCGCCTTTTATTTGTTTGGACTGACCACCTGACTCGTTCAGTGATGCCATTCCCATACAGTGTTTAGTTTTCAACTAGCGTTATCTATCATAAAATAAATAAAATTTTTATTCATATTTCGCTAATTGTGTCTGTACTGTGAATTTGATTTACAATCGATCTCTAAATTGTAGTTTTCTTCTAATTATTTACCTTGCCTAGACGTGTTCTTTGGACTTCTGTAAGGAAGTCTACGCTGTTAGTATTCCGTTTATATACGTTACTATTTTGATAGACGTTTGTGCTTGTCCCTGCATTGACACAATGCCTATTGTTGATAACTTTCTAAGTACTAAGAGAATATTTCAAAACGCTATTGAACACAAACAATCAATAAACAATTTACAAACTAACATTTTTTTTATTTAATTAACCTATATAAAAGCCACACTCACATCAAAATCGCGCTGTCGAAAAAGCAGTTATCCTGACACTGGCTGACATATACTTCTGGGTCGGGGAGTTGCCTGCGGGCTATTATAGCTAACTAGCTATGGAAAGTAAATACCTATTTAGAATACATAGTACCTACAGTAATATTTGCATAACCTACAGTAAAATGCAAAAACATAAAGAAAACATAATTATGTTACACTTTTTTGTGTTTGTTTTAGAAATTGTTATATTTTTTTTCAAAAAAAGTTTTTTATGTTACCGTTTTTAGTTTAAAGTTATGTCCCTTTAGTGGGTACAGGCGTGATATTATATTGTGTGATTGCGTAAAGAATGCATAGATAGGCGATAGCAGCAATCGCGGTTGATTTGCTGTCATTTATTGAAGAGTGCCATCGATTTCTCCAAGATCCTATCATCAGATACTGATCTGATCATCATCGATTACCGTGGGATTATCTGGAAAATATATCCTTTCAAACAAAAAAAATAATTTTCCAAATCGGTTCAGGAATATTCGAGAAATCGAGGGACAGAACATACATAAACAAAAACCAACGAATTGAGAACCACCTCCTTTTTTCGAAGTCGATTAAAAAGTAGGTAAAAACAAATCAATAGAATTATTATATATAATAACAACATCTACTTAAGTTCACATAAGAACTTTCATCATAACAACTAAGTACATAAATTGGGTTCATAATAATTACGTTTCACACAGCAGATCCTAAGTTACAATAACACCAATTTGCTTTCTCTCTCCTTTCTCTTTTTAAAATACGTTATCCCCACAGTAGGATTTTCTCCAGTATCGTGGAGGCAGTTTACAAATATAAATTGCACAAGAACAAACATCCAGACCCGGAACAACTATTTGTAGTCCATACAAAATATTTGTTCCGTGGGGGATTCGAACCCGCGGCACCCAGCGCAGCTACTCTTTGCTAAGCCATTGCGGCACGAGCCGTTTGAGTTTATGTTATTATTCATCATCGTGGTCATCGACGTGCAACCGATCGCGCGCGCTGTCAGTCGTCAGCTGACAGCGCGCGCGATCGGTTGCACGTCGATGACCTCAAGCGATAGACAATGACGAGAATTAAATGTAATAGTTGTAACATTATTATTAATGAAGTGTTATGTTTTGTGCAAAATAAACTTGATGTTATGAATAATGTGAGCCTAGCGTTGTTATGCAGGCAATCATTTTCTGAGGAGGACATCGCTGAGGCTAAAAGCTTGTTGTTCGAGTCAGTACAACAAAAGGAAATCAAACGAAGGGGCGATGCCGGTAAAAACAAAACCATAGAAGACATCATTGGGTTGTTGAAAGGGGCAGATCCTGAGATATTTCCAACGTTTGTGGCACGAGACATCCAAAAATTGCCACCGGTCACATTTGACCACATAGACGCGACGCGTTTACTAAAGGATATGCTAGTTATGCAGAGGGAGATCAGTGCCATAAGTGAGAAATGTGCAGTATTTCAAGACACGTACGTTAAAAAAGATGATTTAAAATTTGAATTTGATAAGTATCATAAGAATACACGAGGGCAACTCATAAGTCACCCTAATGTCAATAGCAAGAGAGGCGGTTCTTGCTTACAAGATAGCCCCGACTGTGACAGCGGGCCGATGGGCTTAATGACCGTCCGTAACGATAATTATACGTCGACAATGACAGTGCAAAAACAGATAGGTGATCACCTGTCTTTGTCGGACGCGAGCGCTTGCGCGGTGGAGACAGATAAGTCTGTCCTATTCACACACGTGCAACAAGTGGCACATCAAGAGTACGTGGAGGCCCCTCGTCAAGTAACTGCGGTTTCGAATGCACACGAGGCAAATGCATTTGAGGCGCCCGCGCACCTATCCTTGTCATGCGTGAGCGATACGGAGGCGGAAGATCATAAAGCTGTCTCTGTCGCTCCCGTATTAAGGTCGGAGATGGCGACTCGAGCGCTTGTCTCGTCTGAGTCAGCTGGTGTGATGACGTCGTGCAATGTAGTGAATGCAGATATACAAAGCGCCGTGAACAAGCAAGATGTAATTGATGGGGAATGGATACGAGTTGAAAAGCGTAAAAAGTCAAGGTTTAAGGGGTCGAGAGGAACAGCTGTGATAAACCCGCTGGGGAAATTCAGGGCGGCGGAGGTGCAGATTCCGTTGTTTATTTACAACGTCGATAAAGACGCCACAGAGCGGGATATTGCCGAATATGTATATGAGAAAACACATATACATATACTGCCGGAGAGAGTGAAGAATAATAATAAAGCGGAAAAAGATTACACATCATTTAAATTCTGTATACCTAAAAGTAAATTGTCTTTGTTTACAAATAATGAATTGTGGCCGGAAGGTATATACTTCAGAAAATATATAATATTTAGAAAGGGTAGGAAAACACCTACAGATCGGGATACGAGGAAAAATAATAAAAATGATGGATCAGAAGTCAATTAGAGAGAATAACTATAAATTAAAGCTAACTAGCTTTAACTGTAAGTCACTAAAGCGATCAATAGATAGTGTGAGAAGTATTTGTGTGGCAGCGGACGTGGTTGCGCTGCAGGAAACTTGGTTGCTACCGCATGATTTGGCCTACCTAAGTACTGTTAATGACGAGTTTGTAGCCACAGGGACGTCAGCGGTAGATACGAGTGCAGGCATGTTACGCGGCCGTCCCTTCGGGGGGCGTCGCGCTGTTATGGCGTAAGAGTGCGTTTACGGCGGTATCTGTTGTGAAGTGCAATAATGCGAGGCTCTGCGCTATAAAGTGTAAATTGCGTGAATGTGATCTGTTGATATTCTCGGTATACATGCCTACTGACTGTACTGACAACTTGCCAGAATTCACAGACTGTTTGAGCGAGATTAATGCGGTTGTTGAGGACAGTGGTATTAGTATGGTAGTTGTATTAGGAGACTTTAATGCTCAACCAGGTGAATTATTTTTTAATGAAATGCAGCAATTTTGTGTTGAACAAAAATGGTGTTGTGCGGACTTTGAACTTTTGCCAAACAATGGGGAGACGTATACTTACATTAGTGATGTTCACGGATGTACACGTTGGCTTGACCATTGTTTAGTAACTAGGATGGCTAGGGGTTACATTGAGAATATAACCGTAAATAACAGTGTCTCGTGGTCTGATCACTATCCTTTGGAAATTGTTTGTAACTTAAACCCCTTACATACTCAGTTGGTACCATCATCTCGAGTTTCTAATAATAAGATATTTTGGGGGCAGAGGGATAGTGACCAGACTAAGCTATTTACGAAAACTTGTGATGAGAAGCTAAGTAAAGTAGTTTTTCCTATGGAGCTTACGAAATGTTGTGGCAAAACCTGTTGTAAAGATGAACATAAACTAGTTATCGATAATATGTACTCTCATATTGTAAGCATATTGCAGTCAGGGGCAATAGTTAGTCATAAAATTGTAAGGGGAAATAAAAAAGGTTATATTACGGGGTGGAATAGGCATGTAAGGCCACTACACGGGAGAGCTCGTCTGTGTTTTCAGTCGTGGGTTATGGCTGGGAGGCCGAGTAGTGGAGTTACATACGACGATATGCGGGAGTCTCGTAGGCTTTTCAAAAATAAACTAAAATGGTGCCAGGACCATGAAGATCAATTAAAAATGGACATTTTAGCCTCTACACACGAGACTAAGCAGTTTAGTAGGTTCTGGCAACAAACAAATAGACTGAATGCACGGGCGGGCCTTCCTGTGGAAGTGGGAGGCATAACAGGGAGTCAAAACATTGCTAATATGTTTAAGACTCACTTCAGGGTGGAACCCCTAAGTATAGTAGGTCAAACAGTGGACGGTGCTCGGGACACCGTAGACCCTTGGGTAGACTCATTGAGCTTCTCTGTTTGTGAGGTAAATGACGCAATAAGGAGTATGAAGCGGGGGGAGATCCCCGGGGCATGATGGCCTGAGTGTCGAACACTTGCGATATGCTGGAGTGCACCTTTCCAGAGTCCTTACCATGCTCTATAACCTCTGTGTCAGTCATGGTCACCTGCCGGATGCAATGATGATGACGGTGGTCGTGCCTATAGTGAAGAACAGGACGGGCAATGTAGCGGATAGGTCCAACTACAGGCCTATATCCCTAGCGACAATCGTGGCTAAAGTTCTGGACAGTCTGCTGGATACACATTTAAAGAAAGCTACTAAAATTAACGACGCTCAATTCGGCTTTCAGCCCGAATTGTCTACCGAGAGCGCAATAATGTGTCTCAAGCAGACTGTACGGTACTACACTGACAGGAAAACGCAAGTGTATGCGTGCTTCTTGGACCTGTCAAAAGCATTTGACCTTGTCTCGTATAAAGTACTATGGCATAAACTTAGGACGGAAACGAGCCTAAGGCCGGAACTGTTATCGTTGTTGCAGTACTGGTACGGTAACCAGTCAAATGTAGTAAAATGGGGAGGCGCTATGAGTGACCCCTACAAGCTGAACTGTGGAGTAAGGCAGGGTGGGCTTACGTCACCGAGGCTGTTCAATCTTTTTGTCAACCAGCTGATAGAGGGGCTGAGCAGAGCTGGTGTCGGATGCTCAGTTGATGGTGTCTTTATAAACAACATCAGCTATGCGGATGACATGGTTCTGCTTAGTCCTTCGGTCAGTGGCCTCCGGAAGCTACTTAAAATATGTGAGGACTATGCTGAGAGAAATGGACTCAGATACAACGCCAAAAAGAGCGAGTTCCTTGTGTTCAGGGGAAAAAACAAACCCACCAATTTTCAGCCAATCATACGATTGTGTGGTATTCCCCCTGAAACAGGTGGCGGAGTTCAAATATCTCGGCCATATAGTTAACGAGCGCCTCGTGGACGACGGTGATATAGAGAGGGAGCGAAGGGCGCTGTCGGTCCGGGGCAATATGTTGGCCCGCAGATTTGCGCGTTGTAATGCAGAGGTAAAATTAACGCTGTTTAGAGCCTACTGCCAGACTTTTTACACGTGCAGTCTGTGGGCGGACTATACGCAGCGGACCTTCAGAACTCTTCGTGTGCAGTACAACAATGTGCTGAGAGCGGTATTGGGGAAGCCACGTCACTGCAGTGCATCTGCAATGTTTGCGGAGGCTCGTGTAGACGACTTCTACGCGATCTTCCGGAAACGTGTTGCATCCATGATGGGCCGTTTAGTGAACAGCACCAATGCCCTTCTCGGCACTTTGGCGTGCAAACTCGACAGCCCACTCTGGAGGAGTTGGAATGGTGCACACACATATGCTAACAAGCGTGTGTGTATTTAATGTTAGTTAGTTAATCTTAGTAGTAGTTAGTAATTATATTTAATTTTAGTTAATTTTAATTTATTTTGATTTATTTTTAATTTATTTTCCTTTTATTGATTGATTTTTTCATTTTTTTTTTCTTTGTTTTGTTTTGTTTTTTCTTTTCTACTAACCAAATATGGACCCTGGTCTGAAATAAAGATTTATTATTATTATTATTATTATTATTCTAAAATGAATCGCATAGGTACCTAGGTACGCGATGATGCCGTAGCGCATTGCGTCACTCGAGTGCGTATGTGTGTGCGCACTAGCTTCTTACTGCTCATTACAGCGTCTATCCCTTTCGCACGAGATGTCGGCTGAGATAGCATGCATTTTTGCCCCGCTCACCACTTAGTTCGTGCCATCGACTAGGGCAACCTTAAGAAACGGTTTTGAGAAGGCAGTGAAATGGGAGCCGGAAGTTTGTATGAAAGTCCTACGTTTTTGAAGTTAGAGTCACGAAAATCGGCATTAAAGTTATAAGTTTTCAATAATAAAATCCTGAATAAGCTGTTTTACTAAATCCTAACCCCAAGGGGGTGAAATTGGGGTAAAATGGTTACATGCAAGTCCTATATTTTTAAAGTATAGATATGAAGATCGACATTTACTTTATTAGTTTTAAATAATAAATACTTGCATAGTTAAGCTTTACCTATATAGCCTCTTTATACTTAGGTAAGACTTTTGCAGCGAGAAAATTTCAAAATCTCATAGGAAATCAGATATTGTACGCGGACGAAGTCGCAGGTGGCCGCTTGTTACATAATATATGTGTTATGTAATTGTGTGATAAGTATATTTTTCTTACCTGTCCACTTTTTCCGGTGGTTATTAAAAAGCTTGTGATATCTCCACTTAATTTTGGTTTTTCAGGAAGAAATATTTGTGATTCCTTTTTGTGGAAAGATATTAGATGCTTCCTTAAGCCTGAAGTGTTTCTGTTTTTCATTTTTATTTCTACCTTTTTATGTTGGCATAATTTACACAAAGCAATTTGGGTTGCACGAATTATGTCAAAAATTCATCAAATTTACTTTTAGGTCTTTTAGATCTATAACTCCAACTCTCACTACTCCGACTAGAACTATTCGACTCTTCGTCACTCATGTCAAATTGTAAACTTATCACTCCGAGAACAACAAGGATTAGAGTAAAAATAATTAATACATTAGACTCGAAGCAAAGCTCAATTGGGAATGACTGGAATTAAAATAAATACTACTATTTGTAAGTACACGCCGAAAGACTGACAAAGGGAAGTTCGGCATCCTTTGATAAAATTAATGATTCTTCAGAAGATTAATAAAGTAGATGTGTTGCCAGATAGGTATAGTGTGCCTACGTAAAAATGAAATGTAAACATGTAAATAAAATTGTATATATTATGTTCTTCTTGTGATTGAATTAATCTACGTTAATTAAATTAAATTTGCCTTCACTCGTTTGAAATTCAAAATTCAAATATGTTTTATGCAAGTAGGCATTAAAAATACAATTTTGAATAGTCATATAATCACTGTTTTTCCCAATTTTTTCTTTTCCATTTCCAGGGGTTCTGATTCTACTGAGAAGTAGCATGGAAGAAAGTAAGAAACTCAGTAGTTGCTCTTTTCAAAATATTTTTACAATAGTTCTATAATTATGTAAAGCGATAAGTCAAACATAAAATGCCAAATGTATATGTAGATACCAAATCGGTTTAGAAATTTCTAGTTAGTCCTGTGTAGTACAAGAGGTCAGTTCCAAGCATTTTTGTCTGACTTAAATTGAAAAGGTGAAAGATCTAACATTTCTTTTGGAATCTTATTATAAAAGCGTATATCGCTACCCAAGAACGCATTATATACTTTGTGTAACCGGAAAGCAGATATTGTGATTTTATATTTATTTCTACTATTAAAATTGTGCAAATCACTATTATTTACATCAATTCGATGCAATCAATTTCTTTAAATGGTTTTCTAAGAGATACTCGGGCTCCTAAAAAGTACATATATCTTATTTTACGCTTTTTATGTAATATGCACACTTTTTATATTATTCGATTAGCATTGTACAAAATGTTTACACGTTTCAAGTGTGTTAAAAGTGTCTACAATATTTATCAAATGGGTGACGACATATTCGAACACTTTGTGTTCAAAAACACACACTTCCAAAAATCGAGATTTGCAGTGAACTTATTGAACATGTTTATCTATTAGGTAATAATAGTAATAGTAAGTAATTATTATAAACCCATATAGTTAATATTATAATAATTACTTACTAGAATAAATTATGGTATCTACCTATTCTTACCATTATCTAATTACAATATTCCTTGTGAGATCAGCATAATGTATTCGTGTCCATTCTGAGCACCCGGAAACTTATTTTATTCTTTGGAACATGTAATACTCAAACAGTGTCAAATGTAGTGCGTGCGGCGCGGCGGCGACGATTGAATGCGATATCAATAGAAGCCGCCGGCGCGTGTATCTTGACCTTGTACTTCCGAATAGCTGCAAAATTTCTCTGACAGGTCAGTATTCGACCTTTGATGATGCCGACAACAAGGCGCCGCGCACTATCAAAGTGCCGATGGTCAAAACTAGGGATGCACTGTTTTTTATTTTAATGGATATTTTCATCCGCTATGTATGTTTATGGTATTGTTCGTAATGCGCATAAGTCCAATTTTCCAAATTTTTTTTATATATTTTTTGCGTCTCATAGAGTCCCTAAGCGTATACCCGAACTCCTATACTCCCTGAAACGACACTCATTCCTAACTGCAAGACGCAAGAGTCTCGCAGGCTTAGTCTTGTTCTTGCTCAAATCTTGCACGATCAGTCTTGGTCTTGGTCTTGCTAAAATTAGGCGGTCTTGTTCTTGGTCTTGGTCTTGCAAGAATGCAAGAACAAGACCAAGACTGCAAGACAAAGACCGATTTTGGGCAACACTACATCAGATTCGGTCTCCATCGAGAAATTTAATGAACTGCTTAATATCAATTTGTGGCGTAACGACATGAAATCTGACATAATGAGTATTAGAGACGAAATTAAGAATGATATGAACTCTAATTTTATGAGTATTAGGGAAGAAATTAAAAATACCTCAAGTGACATCCAATCTGAAATTAAGTCTCTCCGAGAGGAGCATGCCACCCCGAGACAAAATGTTTCTAATATAAACATTGAATTATCGTCCCTTCAAAACTCCATTCAGTTTCAATCTGACGAACATGGTACTTTGAAACAAAGAGTCGATGAAATCGCACGTGTTGCTAGAGAACAGACCACATCAGCAACTGCAAGACTACAGTACAGAATTGACTCCCTGGAACAACAAGCCAGACAGACAAATATTGATATCTGTAACGTACCGGAGCGTAGAAATGAAAACCTTACAGGTATCATCGAACAGCGATCCACTTCCCCATTTCAAAGGCAGACACAGTGTCGATACATCGGGTTCCTCACGCACACAGCACAAATGATGGACCTAAAACATTGCTAAATTCGGCACACGTATACAGAGGGACAGTATAATTGCAGCATATCGTAAAGCAAAATCACTGAGGTCTGATCAGCTCGGCATTTAGGGCCAATCTACCACTATATATTTGAATGAACACCTTACACTACAGAAGAAACTGTTATTTCGTAAATGTCGGGAGGTTGCAAAGGTACTTCATTACAAGTATTGCTGATCAAAAACTCAGCCATTCTGTTAGAGAGAAAGAACCTTTCCGGGAGGGACCTCAAAAAACTTCGAATCACTAAAAAGAAGTGACTGTACTAATTCGATAAGTCTAGTTGTAATTATATTTATAACGTTTTATTACCTTTTTATGTATTTGATTGATTTACTCATCTGCACTGACTGCAGTTTTCTCAATGCTAGCTTAAAATAACAAATGAGCGACTTACCCGTCTGTCTGAGCAATCAGGAATACTTCTCACTATTTTTCAATTTCAAAATTATAACACAAATCTTATTCTCATCGGATACTAACCATTACAATCTGGCTTTCTACTGTACAATAAGGCACAAATTTATGCTAAAAATAGCTCGTGTTCAAACTCAACACTATCTTAGCAAAACAAACATAATACAATGCTCTTTTTTTAATGAATAACACGACTCAAACAAATCATCTTAGTATTTAATATCAAAATTGTAGAGGTATAAGGACCAAATTAAACACACTTTACATGAATATCTTATCTAATAATTATGATGATATTTTACACACTGAGACCTGGCTGCTTCCGAACGTTGGCAACGGCGAATTTATAGATCAGAGGTACATGGTTTACAGATGTGACAGAGACCGCTTAGCTACCAACAAACAGGATTGTGGTGGTGTTCTGGTGGCAGTGCTGCGTGGACTGAAACCTGCTATATTTAACACCTCAAACCCGGATAAATCTCTGCACTCTAAGCATCTTGAATGTTTACTGGTCAAAATTCCTAGTACAAGCCAAATTAGGAAACATGTAATTAGTGCAGCGTATATTCCGCCTCGCAGCTCCCCGGATATATATGAAAAACACTTTGACCTGTTACTTGATTGCCTTAATGATCCTCTTATTGATAGCTTTTATGTGATTGGTGATCATAATAATCCTGATATGACATGGGTTCCATCATCATCCTCCACTTCTGATTATTGTAACCAACCTTTACCGTTGAATGGATCTGGATCCGCCTATACACATTCCTTATTGTTGAATTTTATGGCATTTCTAAATGCCTCGCAATATAATGGAATCTTTAATTCTAATGATAAACTACTGGACCTTTTCATCTCTAACACCTCATCTACTATTAGAGCCCCAACGGATCCACTACTTCCTCCTGATTCCCATCATCCACCTTTCATTGCGATTACTGATATGCATCAGACGTACAAACCAATGAAAAGGCGCCCTCTAACCAAGTATAACTTCCGTAAAGCAGATTTTGACCTCATTAATTCCAAGCTTGAAAAACAAATTGGACGGAACTACTGCAAACGCTTCCATCTGAGCCTGCATTGAAACTTTTTATATGACCATAGATGACATCATAAAACAACATGCACCACATTCTAGTTTTCGCCCCGGAGAATTTCCTGTCTGGTTTTCACGTCCTCTGATTAAAACATTTAAATGTAAAGAAAAAACCGGCCAAGAGCGTGTCGGGCCACGCTCAGTGTAGGGTTCCGTAGTTTCCCGTCCGTCACAATAAGTGTTCCCACTTATGAGTTTAAAGGTGGGTATCCATTATGGGGGGGAGGACACACATTGTTTTTTACTTTTGGAGCGATTATTTCCGAAATTATTGACATTATTAAAAAATGATTGTAGTAATTCCGTATTAATTTTTAAATACCTTTCCAACGTATTATCACACGTTAGGGTTGAAATTAAAAAAAAAATAACTTCCCACTTTACATATAGGGGGCTACCCTAATAACACATTTTTTCCAATTTTTATTTTACCACTTTGTCGGCGTGATTGATACACATATTGGTACTAAATTTCAGCTTTCTAGTGCTAACGGTCACAGAGATTAGGCGAGGACGGACAGACAGACATGGCGGAACTATAAGGGTTCCTAGTTGACTACGGAACCCTAAAAAAGCCTGGACTAAGTGGAAGAAATATAAAAACCCAAGTGAATACGTACAATTTTCCCAATACAGAAATACATTTAAGATCCAATGCAAACAATGCTATCGGAGGTATATGGACACTGTAGAAGAAAATATAACTAAAAATATAAAACACTTGGACCTATGTATCGAGTCGCAAAACTGAGACTAAAATTCCGTCCACTTTGCATTACCATAACCTTAAATCCAGCGACCCCGAGACGGTATGTAATATGTTCTCTGACTTCTTTCAATCAGTGTTTGAGCCCTCTCCCTCTTCTCTTTCGCATTGGCAGCCTCCATCTTGTACTTCAAGTCACGATATTTTAATTTCTAATATTTACTTAACTGAAACTGAAATTCTAAATGAACTCAAAAATTTAGACACTTCCAAGGGTCCTGGTCCGGATGGCCTTCCTCCACTCTTCTTCAAACTGCTGAAAATATATTTAAGCCTTTGCACATTATCTGTAATAAGTGTTTGTCAGAAGGTGTTTTTCCTAGGAGGTGGAAACATGCAAATATAACTCCAGTTCATAAAAGTGGGTCAAAACATGATGTTGAACAGTATCGCCCCATCTCTATTCTCTCCGTCTTGTCGAAAGTCCTCGAAAAATTAGTCCACAACAAAATTTACCCGATTCTACACTGGGCTATCATTGAAGAACAACATGGTTTCGTTAAACATAGATCTACTAGTAATCTACTTACCTTTACGAATAATTTATTTGCAAGAGTTGATGACGGCTTTCAAGTAGATGCTGTATATACAGATTTTAAGAAAGCTTTCGACAAGGTGGATCATGAGATTCTTCTTAACAGGATTGCATTCAACGGTATTCGTGGTAATTTGCTGCGCTGGTTTGCATTTTATATTCAAAACCGTTCCCAAAAAATTGTAGTAAATGGATATCAGTCAAGGGACGTTTTGGTTACATCGGGCGTTCCTCAAGGATCCATTCTTGGACCATTGTTATTTATTATTTTTGTTAATGATATAGACAAATGTTTTCTTAACTCCAATTTCCTATCATATGCCGACGACCTGAAAGCCTACAAAACTATTAAAAATATAGAAGACTGTATATCTTTCAAAAGCGACCTTGACAGATTGACAACATATTGCAACATTAATAAATTACAATTGAGCATTCCAAACTGTCACTATGTAAACTTTATAAAAAAGAAAAATATTGTCCATTTTAATTACATCCTCTGTAAAAAGTCCTTGGCCAAAGTGACAGAAGTAAAGGATTTGGGGATTCAGTTGGACTCTAAGCTACAACTAAGCATCCATATTGATAAAATAGTCAAACAAGCTTTTAAAATGTACAGATTTGTTATGAGATCTACTGACTTCAAACGAACAACCACATACTTTGCAAAGGAGAAAGCCGATCTTCTAGGCTCTTTCTTTGCGTCTAACTCGACTCTCGATGACGGGGGGAGTACGCCGCCGACCATCCCGCGGTGTGAGTGCTCCATGCCGGAAGTGCAGTTCACACAGCGCTCGGTTCGCAAAGCACTCCTCTCCCTGGACATCCACAAGTCGAGTGGGCCTGACGGAATCCCCCCAATTGTGCTGAGGACGTGTGCTCCAGAGTTGGCACCGGTTTTAACGCGTCTTTTCCGGTTCTCCTACTCCCTAGGCGTAGTCCCAAAATCATGGAAGACGGCTTTCGTCCACCCGATCCCTAAAAAAAGGCGACCGCTCAGACCCGTCCAACTACCGGCCAATCGCTATCACCTCCTTGTTCTCCAAAACAATGGAGTCCATTGTAAACTGCCAGCTCATGAGGTACCTTGAAGATCACCAGCTGATTAGTGACCGCCAATACGGTTTTCGCCGTGGTCGGTCAGCTGGTGATCTTCTGGTCTACCTCACTCACAGATGGGCGGAGGCAGTAGAGTTCAAGGGGGATTATTGGCCGTTAGTTTGGACATTGCGAAAGCCTTCGATCGGGTTTGGCACAAAGCGCTTCTTTCGAAGCTCCCTTCCTATGGGCTTCCCGAGAAATTGTGCGATTGGATCACCAGCTTTCTTGCAGATCGGAGCATCAAGGTCGTTGTAGACGGTGCAAGCTCCGATTGCAAGCCTATTAATGCTGGTGTTCCACAGGGCTGCGTGCTATCGCCAACGCTGTTTCTTCTGCATATCAATGATATGTTGCATACCCGTAACATTCATTGCTATGCAGATGACAGCACTGGTGATGCTCTTTGCACCGGCCGAGCCAATATTTCTCGGGAAAACGTCTCCGAGTGCCGGGACAAACTTGTGTCTGAAGTCGAGTCTTTGCTGAACAGAGTCTCGGATTGGGGACGACTAAATCTAGTCCAGCTTAACCCCCAGAAGACACAAGTTTGCGCGTTAACCGCTAAAAAGAACGCCTTTGTCGTATCCCCTCAGTTTCAAGGCACTCCCCTTGTTGCCTCAGCCAGTATCGGAATCCTCGGCGTCGACATATCGAGTGACGTGCAGTTTCGTGGTCACTTGGAAGGAAAGGCCAAATTGGCCTCTAAAAAGCTTGGCGTGCTCAGCAGAGCGGGACAGTATTTCATGCCGGCACACCGCCTGCAACTTTACGAGGCGCAGGTTCGGCCGCACATGGAATACTGTTTCCATCTCTGGGCTGAGGCTCCCCAGTACCAGCTCCTTCCACTTGACCGCATCCAGCGCAGAGCGGCTCGAATCGTCGACGACCGAGTGCTTTCCGATCGGCTCGATTCACTGGCGCTGCGAAGAGATGTTGCATCTCTTTGCGTATTTTATCGCATCTATCACGGGGAGTGCTCTGAGGAATTGTTCGGATTAATCCCAGCCGCCAAATTTCGTGAACGCACTACACGGCAAACGTCCCGATACCATCCACACCA